CTCCATTCGAGTTGCACCACGGTGGACGGAAAGGCCGGATCTTCGCCGACCTTCTCCTCCCTCGACCAGCCGACATTGACACGGCCTGCTCTCCCTCTTCCGTCCGGAAGTACAGGGAATTGCTGACTCAAGCCCGCGCAAATATGCAAAAGGCTCAAGTCCGCATGCAGCAGCAAGCCAACAGGCGTCGCGTACCATGTCCCATCCGCGCCGGTGATCTGGTTTGGGTTTCACGCAAACTGCTTCCCAAGTGGTTTGGACCTTGGTCTGTGACAGCAGCCGCGGGCGATGAGCCCGATGACCCTTCATTTGTGATCAACATTCCAGAGCATCTGACGGTCCATCCGGTCTTCCATGCATTGAAGCTGGCAACTTATATGCCAGCCAAGAGCGACGACTTTCCGGACCGACGATCGCAGGACCCTCCTTCTATGGATGGCCATCAGGAAGTTGACCGCGTCATCTCCGATCGCAAGTACGGCAGCAAGCCGTGGTAGTATAAAGTCACATTCAAAGCATGCGATCGCGACGACACTCGGTGGATATCAGGCGCAAATTTGAAAGCATCCGCACCGCTGATCTACGCACATTATGAAAAGCGCAGATTAGCTCAGGAAGCTTCACGACCTGCCCCTCCCACCCGGACTGCGGTCCTTCCCTCAGACAGACAGCTTCGCCCTCGTAGGTAAGCTCGGTCTTTCAAGGAGGGGGGGGTGTGGCATACTGTGCAGCCACACGGGCCTTGCAGGGCCCGTCCCGGACCTCCAGCCTGTTTCCCTACAGGGAAACTTCCAGGCTCTTGCCTGAAAGCTTCCTTCTGGCAGGGCCTACAGGCCCTAGCCTGTTTCCCTACAGGGAAACTTCCAGGCTCTTGCCTGGAAGCTTCCTTCTGACAGGGCCTACAGGCCCCAGCCTGTTTCCCTACAGGGAAACTTCCAGGCTCTTGCCTGGAAGCTCCCTTCTGACAGGGCCTACAGGCTCCAGCCTGTTTCCCTACAAGGAAACTTCCAGGCTCTTGCCTGGAAGCTTCCTTCTGACAGGGCCTACAGGCCCCAGTCTGTTTCCCTACAGGGAAACTTCAGGGAACTTCCAGGCTCTTGCCTGGAAGCTTCCGCAGGGTCTAGGCCAGAGGATCATTGGCACGGCCAGCCTCCTGCACGGGCCAGCACTATAAAGGACTGGCCCGCCCTGCAGAAAAGGGCGGTAGGCAGTTGGAGAGTAGGACGGTAGTCTTCAGATCTCGGCCGCAACACTCAGGAGGAGCGCTGCAGTAGTCTTCAGCGCTAGGCGGTAGCAGTAGCGCTAGCTGTAGTCTTCGGCGCTGGGCGCCCATAGCCATAGCTGTAGTCTTCAGCGYTGGGCGCTAGTAGGTGGTAGTAGTTGCAGTGGAGGGAGATGGCTGGCGGAGGCCAGCGGTACTTACCTGTGGCGCCATAGCTCCAGCTCCATCTTCGAGGTACCTGCATCAAGGCGCCAACTTCACAGGTTAGTACTGGACACAGAGAGAGAGAGAGAGAGTTCTTCTTCTTCCTCCTCTATGTCCACCATCTCTTC